GTGAATTGTAGGCCCGGGGACATGGGCGCTTCGTCCCAGACAATCAGCGAAGCTTCGCGTATCCTTTGCGCGCGCAAAGACTGCAACTTGATGCTCGAAGTAGACTGTTCGGTCAGCGTTCCCAATGGCAATCCGAAAGTAGAGTGCACAGTCATGCCACCCTCCATGAGGGATGCGGCGATCCCGGTGTATGCCACGCTCAACACCGTTCGTTGTCTGTTACGAAGCGACGATATTAGGCATCCGTATAGCGTCGTTTTTCCCGTGCCTCCTGGCCCGTCGACATAGAACATTTTCTGGACGTTGCGGTTGTCGTCGACGGCCGCCATCACTCGATCGTATACCGTTCGATGTTCGTCGTTCAAGTCGCGCAATCGTTGTTGCCAGGCAACGGCCGCATCTATTGCACCGAGCATTGGATCGTTTTGATCTGGTCCCAGTAGATCGTCGTCTGGATTGGGTAGATCGTAGTCGTCGAGTGATTTTCCACGTGCACGAAGTAGGTCTCCGATTGCTTTGAGACACGCCGCCCTCGCACGGTCTACGTTTTGGAAGCGCCGATTGAAGTCTTCCATCATGTTGACTTCAAACCGTCGGTACAGATCCGCGGGGTCCGCGGAATGGCAAAACAATAGTATCGTGACGTATAGATAACGCAGTTGAGTGGCTGTGTCCAACGCCGATGATTCTGTCATACACGCCCGCCACCCTTCGTCGTCTTCCAACAATCCCAACGCAATGGCGGCGGCTGCGTATGAGGCATGCACTACCCCGTTTACCGTCTTCAAGTCTTGGAAAGACCGCGGGCCTCTTCTGTGCAAGAGTAGTAGTCGTAGATGAAAACGGTCTCTATCCAGTGGGTTGACGACGTACATCCGAGCCAACGTCTCGCGAGGTGCCCGTATTCGCCGCAGTCTCCACTCTTTTGACGATACTTGCCAAGTGTAATGTATCGGTATCTCGTGGAACAGATACTGTCTTGCATCAACGCTTCTCTCGTTGAGCGCGAAGAACGCCGTGAGTTTTGTTCGAGGTAGGGCGTTGTTTTGTACCTCCTGTAGTTCCCGTCCACGCGCAAAGTACACGTTGTGGTAGTTTTCTAGGTGAACCGGAAGTCTAACTACCGTGTGACTGATGTCGTGCAGTTTATACGCAAACAACCTCCAGACGGCTTCCGGTAGGCTGACGTACCTCGAATTTATGTAACTGAAAACAACATTTATGTATGTATGTATCAAAAATATTTAGAACATAAAGTTAAGTAACATAAAGTTGTACAAAAAGAAATCAATAGTTATTTAAAATCTCATTATTTTACATATATAAAATATTGTCATGAGTAAAATGTCGTAATACTATTGTTTGTGATGTATATATAATAAACGTAATTATGTCAAAGTATAGTGTAACACTATTTTAGTCTTAATGAAGAATGTAACACTATTTTAGTCTTAATGAAGAAGAATACGATAAAATATTGTTTTTTGCATTTTAATTATATTCTATGTACATAAGTTAAGACATTAAGACTTAGTCTAAAAAGTGGTAAATGGCTTTCAAAAATCTAATTTATGTCTATAATAATTTATAAATGTTAATTAATAATATGCTGTAATTAATTTCTTAATAACATACTGTAGTGTTAGGTCATTGTAGTGTGAACAGAGAAATGCTTGTCAAATGAAACAAATGAATAATATATATATGAAATTTCTAATGTACAAAGTACCGATTTCAATAATTTATATTATGCTGAACAGCTTTCCTAAAATGTCTTTACTATTGAGATGAGATGTGAGATGATTGAGTATTATATTTAGTTAAGCGAATTGAAATAATGAAAAATAATTGAAAATTATTTCAGTTATTGATTGAGGAGTACATATTATTATATGAATGATGATGATTGTGTTACACAGTTGTCAACTGGCCATACTGATACTACTGTAGTGAAATTTCAAATAATAGAAATCATGCATTAAGTGGGCAGTTGTTTTAAGCTAATATAAAGTTATATATTCAACAACAACTCTAAATTAATGAACACCAGTAGTTTATACTCTGCTGTTCTATGTTGTGTTTATGTACAATAATTTAAGTTTACATAAGTTGCAAGTGCAATGTACGTTAGGTTAGGAGGTCACAGTGAGGCCAGAAAAACAAAAAGAACTTTACAATTAATGCTATAATAGTTGAAAGAATATAATGTGTTAACTTATGGAAAAATGCATTTTGATAACATACCTGTCTATTTCATTTCCGTTCCATAATTCCATGGTCGCAGCATCGTGCCCTTTATATACATATTTATACAAATACTGAACACTCTTCACAGTAGAGCATACCTCAACATTAATGTGTGCATCGTATTTTGCTAAAAGGTACGGATTGTAAGGCACGACAAACTCGTTGCTGACCTGTTGATTTCTGACCCTGGCCACAGGTCCGTTGTTTGGCCGATAGTACTTTGGGTAACCACCGTCAGAAATGTATACAGTCTCTTCGCTGTATTCTTTTAGAAACTTCTTTGAACAACTGTTGTCCACCATGCATGGGCTGTTTGGGTTCAGCGTGCCACACGGCCCGTGGATCATGTGTCTCGTCACACAATCGAATAGACGCGGAGCAGTCACCGGGTCTGGCAAGAAGGCGCACACTACATTGTCGACGTCGTCGGCAGTTAGCAACTTGCTACCCTCACTCAGAATGATCAGTATGTGGGCGTGCGGCAGTCCTCGTTTCTGAAACTCGACAGTATAAACATATGCATCGACATTACCAAATATATTGTTCACCGTTATGTCGCGCATCAGCTGCTTGAGTTTCGCGTTGAACACTCTGGACACCAGGTCCGGTCTGTCGGTTGCAGTGGCCCATCTCGGTAGGTTCTGTGTGATCTCTGGCCAGCTAGGATTACACGTAAACGTAATAAAAAGATTAGGCTTTCCACACTTTGCTCACAATGGCCATCGCGTCATGATAACACTGTTTCATGAAACGGGGACCACCTGTAAACGACGATGGCAAAATCATCCTACGGCCGACGCCCGCCACGGGTGCGTCAATTTGGAGCTGTTGGTTGATGTGATCCACAAGTCCCTGATACGATTCTGCGAAAAGCTCAGCTTGATGATATCTAATGTACATTAAGTTGTTCGCTTCCATTCTAACGTAATGATCACCCACAAACTGTTGCAACAGATATCGACCATTATGTAATAAACTCATAGCATCGTGGATTGTGTCGTTGTTGCCATTGTAACGAATAGCAAGACGATAGCAAGTATACTCCCTGATACTGTTCCGATTGCGAACAGGGGTTCGTCGAGGGCCCTCTTGTAGCAAACGTTGATGCCAACCCAGCTCTCCTCGTGGGAAGAGTAGGGGATACAGCATTGGATCCGCGTTTGAAGAGCCGGCTGGTATGGTCTGTAGTCGGCGATGTTGCGGGTCAATTGGATTCCGGTCGTGGATCACCAGATCGACGTCTGTTGGCGGTTGACCGTCATCACCGACAAACACTACTGCGACTTCGTTGACCGTTTCAGGCGGTGGGTTGTATCGCCTCCTGTCCACATTTCCGTCGGCGACGAAATGCATTCTCACCCTCCTTGGAAGCAACTGAGGCTCCCTGTCGGGAGCGTTTTCTCTAGCCCACACTTCTCGCATGGTTCTGTAATGAAGTAACACGGTCTTAGGATTTATTGTACAAAATTGAAATTTATTAATCGTTGTGTAATAGGTACATGTTTGTAACGCATATATATGTGTATTGTTAATGTTCTCAGAAATGTCAACGTCAGAGTCCTATTTAATTAATCCTCACACATAATATCAACAAAGAGTGATGTGGTAGTGTAAAAAAATGACAGAGAATAGCATAATGCAAAATGTATTACAATGTATGATACCAAATGTTTTGTTTAGATACATTGAATTGAAGTGTATTAAAGTACATAAGGAACACAAACAAAAGTAATTGAAATCATTAACTCTAACTCTAGTCACGTGTGTTCATTTGAAATGAAATGAGAAATATTCAAGTAGAAGTTGAGGTTTGTACATAGGAGTGTATCCACAGAAAGAAGAAAATAATGTATAGAAATGTAAGCATTGGTATAAATGAAATAGAAAAAAACCAATATCTAATGAAAATCGTAGACAGCAGTAACGCATTTTAAATAAGTTATACTTTATGTTAAGTGTAGTGCCTATGGTAAGTATAAAGTAAGTGTGGCATGAGAAAGTAAGATTGGTTGTAAGTTAGTGATGAGTTAAAAATGAGTTGTGACAATGCAATAGTGTAGTGTATAGCACCAACGTTGTGTCATACATTAAAGTGTAGCAGTGTATGTATAGAATTTTCCATATACCTACCAAGTATCTTAATACTTGTAAGAGAAATAAATCTGTATCCGTAACTGAATATGAACAAAATAAAATAAACTTTTAATTTGTGACCGAACGTTGTTAATATAATATTTAGGCAATAATGTGTTGTGATTACGAAGAAGAATTTATGTTTTTCTAGTTATTACTCATTAAAGTAAGCTACTTTGTAACTAATTGAAAATGTATGAATCCAAGCAAAATAAAATATGTATAAATGAATAGTGTAAGTAGGCAGGTAAATAAACACTAACATAAGGCTAATGAAATAGTGTAATTAATTATTACAATTGGAAATTTGAATAGTGACATGTGTACTCGCTAGCTAACTAAATATTTCAATGTTACGAATCAATGTTAACATGGTTTGTCTGTAGTGTAACGTAATGGGAATGTGGATTGTTCAGTAAAATTAATTAAATATATTACTCGAAAGCCTGTGCGAATAGATTGATGCCCCGTAGCAGGCCGTCTAAGTCTTCGAGCACACTTGGCAATAGACGTTGTGCAGTAGTTGCTGCTGCTCCCTACGAATCCGGTTTGCCTCGCCAGATTCGACGAAATACAGCTGGCAGAATCTGCGTTGGATAGGTTCGTTCCCGATCAAGTCATTACTTATCGTCCAATATCCCTGCCCATGAACAGTAAACACATTCGGTCCCCGACCTGGCAAGCGCCGTGTGTTGAAGGTTGCAGGTGGAGAATGCAGCAAATGCCAAAGTGTTGTTGTACCGGCGGATGGTATTTCGATAGTGTCTACCTTCTACCGAATCTTCAACCAACAACCTCTGTAGTAAATACGGTGCTGGTGTCAACACACGCGGTCCTGAAACGGCCATCAGACCGTTGTTGCAGCATGTAGAAAAATTATTCGGGCTTGTTTCCTCGCACTTAAAGTGGCGGGCCCTACAATACCGGCATACGTAATTCAACGCGCCTATGTAGTGTGGTTCCGGTAGTGGGTGCTGAACGCCAGCCGGACGGTCTAGCAACAGTCTAGCGACAACCGGGGCGATTTGTTCAACCTGAAATTTAAAAGACATGGTTGTATATTATTTTTTTCCTTTATGAACATTAAATTAATAATACAATTTATACAAAATATATACTGACCTCTTGAATGTCGTACAGTGGTGAAAGGTCGAAAACACCAACAAAGTTATCATCATCTGATACTTGTTCGTCTCCATTTACGATAACTATTTCAACGTCGTCGTCGTCCATCGCGACTTCGTCTGCTTCAACGTTGTCATTGTCCATCATGACTTCAACTACCTCAACGTTGTCATTGTCCATCATGACTTCAACTACCTCAATGTTGTCTTCCAACAAAAGTTCATCCCTCGGAACTTGTACACCGGCATCGACGTTTTCCACATGATCTTCTCGTTCTCTGTATGGTCCGACTACCTATAGAATCATAGACGGTTAATTTAAATGATTTATAAGAACGGTTCATTCTAGACTGAACCAAATATACAATAGTGTATTTATTGTGAAACAATAACATGGTAATAATATTTTATTTTCTATTTGTTTCCAATGCACAATATAGTACCTATAGTTATTAAGTCATTAACTTTGATGTCAATTAAAAGTGTAATGCAATGTAATCAAAAAATGTTGTAGTTTGTAGAATGTACCAAACCATACATGCCCCAATTTATTAATTGATTTTCTATGTAAGAAAATGGAATTGCAGTTTATAAATATTAAGGTTGAGGTGTAACAAAAAAAAAAAGAAATTTGTTAAATTACATAAGGTTTGTGGTGACAAATAATTTTTGTGTCATATAACACCGTGTCATCATTCGTATATAGTATCGTTGAGTTTAGTTTAATGTAATATATATTAAAAAAAAATGAATTGTAAGTTAAGTTAAATAAGCAAACAAATTATAAATTATGAGCACAGTATATTCACTATTGGAGTAGTTAACTATGGTTATAGTAATTACAGTTTATAACGTCACATAGAATTTTTAAGTGAAAAAAGTCATCTGAATAACATTAATACAGGATTGTTACACTTAACTTAATGTAGAATAAATTGAATTGTCAAAGACAATGAAGATATATGTATATGTGAAAAGTACCTATAATAATGTAATATATTTTGTTATATGTATGTTATTAGGTATAAATGATGAGCAAAGTGAATCGACTATTGTAATAGTTAAGTATGGTTATAGTAATAATAGTATATAGATCACATGGCATTTTTAAGTGAAAAAACTCATCTGATGACATTAATAGGTACAATATTGTTAAACTTAACTTAATGTAGAATAAATTGAATTTTCAAAGACAATGAAGATATGTGAAAGTGAAATGTACCTATAATAATGTAATTGTATTTGAATGTAAAATGTTGTTAACAAAAGTAAATATTTTGGTGGTAGGTATGTAAATATTTTATTAATAAAAAAAACTATAAGGATATAAGAGTGTTAGTGAAGTTAATGAGCTATATAGAGTAATGAAACATTTGTAATGAAATATAGATGTAGGTGGGTATTGCATAATTCAACAACTGTAGGATAAAATTAACATATTCAATATATCATCGTGCTCTAGCGTAGACCGTTTTGTCATTGTTTCTCCATCAAAAAGTGTATGTTTAGCTATACAGCCAAGTAGGTAGTTAGGTAGGTAAGCGATATGTATTGTAATACAGTGTTATGGTTGTGTTGAAATGAATGAGTAGTGATGCTTGGAGATGTATGTATGATATGAAGATACTCACCAAAGATGGCACCGCTGCGCGGTCCAGACGACGGCGTCGTGCATCCCCTTCAACGTAGTCAATACCAGGAACACAACCTAGAGCTTAGGTTTACATGAAAACCTTGGTTCACCACAAATTCCACCCACTGAAGACGACGCCCGTCAGTTGGAATTCTAAGGATGAATGTGATTTATAACATGTTACATTATTGATATGTGTTGGGTGAAATTGTAAATACCTGTGCAGCGAAACGTTATTGTCACCATCCACGTTTCCACAGATCACACATAGTTTCACCATCGTGAATAGCCTGGAACGCATCGTATAATCGTTTAAAGATTTAAAATAATACATAATATATAATTAATTATAATGAAAGCATTGAAATCATTTTGAAAAGATGATCGTATCGGTATGTTATCAGTAGGGATTTTGCAACTTGTGTTATTTTTAGAATTGATAATATAGAATATAGATTGTACATATAGGTAGGTACATGAAAAATGGAAAAATACGAAAAACGACATACCGATCTCGAGGAATGTTAAAACCACAAAATAAAGTAGAATGAATACACGCAATGTTAACGCAAATACTTAAGATACGGACGGCCTCTGTCGAATGACGTGACTGAGCCGAGTACGAATGTGGATATAAAAAACGTTGTATTCAAATTGTATACGCTGTTTATGGGGATAAAGAAACACGAAACGCGCCATGGTTAAAATGTTATGTACAAATGTTTGCAGTGTGAACAGATGCCTTAAGAGTTAAGATGGCCTTAAACGATACGCGCTACCATGAATCCCTACATGTTATGTAATAGATGTACAAACGCACGGGATAGGTAATAATGCTAATATTATTATTGTGTCTGTCAAAATTGTACTCACCGGTATCAAAAATCGCTTGATCCAAAACAAAAAATACGTTAGAAGGAAAGCACTTGTTAGGAGTCTAGAAATATTAAAATGTGCAAAAGAATCAACAGGGTTCCTGTGCATATAGAAACGTCTCCTTCGAACGTTGGCATTAGCCTGACGTTGGATAACACGGTACGGTTCCGCGAGCTTAGTTACCCTCTCCATTCCACCGCCGTGCGATAAGTTTTAACTAATGATGGTCCAAAGGGCATTTAATGTTACGGACAGACGGTAATAAAAGATACGAAATAAAATACAAACTATATTTATATAACAATCATGGAAATTTTGAAAAATTTTGAAAAAATATGCAATTATAATAATTCCTAATAAAACAAATATAATATCCCTAATAAAACAAATATAATATGTACCTATTTATTGTGTGATATAATATGACAATGACTTTAAATTAAATAATAATAATGTTCCTGTATTATTATATTATAATTTATATACGAAAAATATAGTGAAAAAAAAATGCAAAAAAGTCGAGATTTCGGGCGGCCGTGTAAACCATATGGCAATTCCGATTTCGACGTCCGGAGAGCGTACGACGGATTCGAATTCGGGACCCTAGTGTTTCCTACCTAACGCCTAACCTACTCGGACACAGTTTGAGATATGAAATGCGGTCAAAACATCAACTTTACTCTTAAGCCGTGCGTCTACGGAGCGACGTAAACCGATATATTCGATGATCATCGATGTAATCGCATATAATTTGCTTGTAATACTCGCATCTCCCATATATATATTTAACGGGGCGTGTGAAAAGCGTTTTCCGTTAATAATTATTAAATCATAGGGAAAAATTGAATTATACCCGTATATACATGTATATATACGCGTACGGTAATTTCTAAACGCGATTGCGAGGAGAACGAACCGATTTCGGGGGAAAAGCGCATATAAACGGCTTTAAAAAGACGTCGACTACACGATTCGGGCACAAACGGGTGCGAATAGACGAAACGGTGGGAGAAAAGGAAGAAATCGGCAAAAAAGTCCGGTCGGGAGGGTATTTATTGATCGACATTGCACGAATATAAAGCGCACACCGGTGGCTTCGAATTAAGTATATAAAAGGGCGAAAAGATATCGTGTAAAAACAGCTAATTTTCCGAAAATCGGCGAAATGATAGGAAAAGAGGTGATAACGAAAAACGTTTTAAAACCGACCGCCGCCACTGCGAAGGTACGCGATTGGTCGCGCTATAAGGAACCGACGGGACATGGCCGGCGGGCCGGGGAAACGGAGCAGTGCTTCATTTTTTACGCCATGGGTTCGCTATAGCCGGCGTTTTCCTTTCCATTGGTCCCCTATATTATCAGTCAGCTGTTCTTCATTTTATAGTATTAGACTAGATTCCGGTGTTTGTCATCCCGCCTACGGCGGAAAGACTGTGTGGGCGGTGGTGCATCTTTGTCGGCGATGCTGGGTTTTTTGATCCAGCCTGCGGCGGGAATGGGGGGTCGTCGGTTATTGTGTTTTGTCGTGTTGGCAGCACTGGTTAAGCGGTAATTTTTGAACTCGGAAGAGTGTCTAGTCGTAAGTCACGCGATTCAAGTCGATCGTACGACACAGCCAGCCAGGTAGGCAATCCGACTACGTCGGATCGCAGACCATACACCGGGCGGGTATGTCCGGTTCTGGTGTGTGTGTGTTGAAATCGGAAATTCGGATTCTGGGTTTGAGTGTCTAGCTATCAGTCATCTCGGGTAAAAGTCGATTCCCGAGTGTCGGATGCAGTGGGGGACACTGGGGGTGTAAGCCGCTCGTATGCAAGTAGCTAGTCAGGTAGGCAATCCGACTACGTCGGATCGCAGACCATGCACCGGGCGTGTATGTCCGGTTCTCGTATGTGTGTTGAAATCGGAAATTCGGATTCTGAGTTTGAGTATCTAGCTATCAGTCATCTCGGGTGAAAGTCGATTCCCGAGTGTCAGATGCAGTGGGGGTGTAAGTCGCTCGTATGGAAGTAGCTAGTCAGGTAGGCAATCCGACTACGTCGGATCGCAGACCATGCACCAGGCGTGTGTGTCCGGTTCTCGTATGTGTGTTGAAATCGGAAATTCGAATTCTGAGTTTGAATGTCTAGCTATCAGTCATCTCGGATGAAAGTCGATTCCCGAACGGACAATCCACCTGTGGCGGATCGGATGCAGTGGGGGTGTAAGTCGCTCGTATGCAAGTAGCTAGTCAGGTAGGCAATCCGACTACGTCGGATCGCAGACCATACACCGGGCGTGTATGTCCGGTTCTGGTGTGTGTGTGTGTGTGTTGAAATCGGAAATTCGGATTCTGAGTTTGAGTGTCTAGTTATCAGTCATCTCGGGTGAAATCCGATTCCCGAACGGACAATCCGCCTACAGCGAAAAGTGCTCGAAACGGCCGTTCAAATATGAAAAAGTATACAGGAGGTAATAAAATTGTATTTGTTGATAATTATAGAGAACAGTTATCAGGTGTTTTATGTTAGGCTTCACTGTAATCAATGTAATCATTGTTATGTTTTCGCGGTTATAACAAATAAGTCGACAAAATCTAATTTTCTGATTGGATATTTTCTAAAATATACCTACCTTGTATATTTATTTAATTATGAGAATTAAGTCAAATTAACAAATAGATAATTATATTGGTGAATAACAAATTTTATTGAAATGTAATACTATCCTATTAAACGTAGGTATCTATATAAATGAATACACTATACATACTCTCGTTTCCGACACACTACTCCACCCCGGGACTCGAATTTTCGAAAAAAACGGCAAATGAAGCAGTCATATTACAGTCGTACTATTTTTTAATATAGTATTTATAATCTGTAGCAGTATTTAACCAAATCGGAATCACGTAAAAACTGTAATATATCAAGTAGGTACTACACGTAGGTTAGTTATATTATAATGTATTATTAAAAGAAACATGTAGGTGCGTCGGTAAATGTTAATTATAATTATTTTTTTGCCCAATAAATATCGTCAAACGAATAATAATAATATATATAATATAATAATGCAAATTTAAAAAAAAAATTAACACTTTCGTGAAAAATGATAAATGTGACGAAAAAAAAAACGCAAAAAAAAGAAATTCGATTTAACACGGCCCCGCCGGCGTTCGAAACCATGACCGTCGAATCACCCGTTTTAACGCCTAACCTACCTAGCCACCTACCGAGATGAAATTAGGAGTCAAATCTATGACTCTTAAGGGCGTTTGTGCGGACCACCTTGTCCGCCACCTTCGGACGTTCAAAACGCGAGATTTGCGAAAAAAATCGAACCTCGAGGCGCATGTATATACATGCGTATATATGCCTGTATATAGCGATACCTACACGGTACCTACTCTCGTTTCCGACACACTACTCCACCCCGGGACTCGTCTGTGGCTATAAATATAGCAGGGAACGCGAATAAGTAGTCGACGGGGAGGGTGATATGACCGAAAGGGGCTAAAACTATAATTTTCAAAAAAAACGGCAAAAAGAGCAGTCATATAGTCGTACTATTTAACTGCCAGAGTTTAATCAGTTCTATTAGATCTATTAGTTTATTAATACCGTATTAAACAGTATTTAACCTAAAAACTGTAATATATCAAGTAGGTACTACATGTAGGTTAGTTATATTATATTGTATTTATATAAGAAACATATAGGTGCGTTGGTCACGGTAAAATCAAGTATTATTATTATTATTTATAAAATAGTACAGTATCATTATACAATTTAGTTACAATTTAAAATATCTACTTTAATATATATTAATATTTTTCTGCCAAAAAAAAAAAAAATGTGACAAAAAAAAAAACTCGAAAAAAAAACATTCAAATCATCACAGATGGCGCAAATTATCGAAAATCCCAGAGGCCGGGTTCGAACCCACGACCCTCGAGTCACTTACCTTAACGCCTAACCAACCTAGCCATCTACTCAGATGAAATTTCGAGGCAAATGTATGACTCTTAAGCCGCGTCGCCGTGCTCGCGGCGATAAAATAAAATTCTTATCACTTTCCTTATCAATAAAAACAATATTTAAGAAAATCCCAATAAATCCTATCAAAAACTCAAAACCCCGAGTTTCCCCTTGGCGAGGTGGGTGTTAGTACTCTCCCGGACCAAAATCCATCAAAAAAGCAAAATCCAAAAAGGGGGGAGGAGGTGCCCCCGTTCCCTAAAGCGGAAAACGGTAGTATTCATAAAAAGAATGGGTTCCCCCTTGGTCCGAGGTCTTTAACTTGAATTCCGGCCGAGTTATACTCAACTCAAAATGGGGGGGGTGGGGGCTTTGGTTCCCTAATGTTGAAAATTCATCTGGGGCCTAAAAAATTGAGATGCCCATTGGTACGGGGTCTCTAAGT